TGTCACTGTTGCCAAGAGCAAGACTCTCAGCTCAGCTCTCCTGTCTGGTTGAGGGCCGGCCAGGCTTAGCTGAGATTGAGAGTCATGCCTTGTGCCTCTGAGCTGTCCCCTGTCTTACACCCTATCTTGTAGGAATTTGCAGAGACAAGTAGGAATTCTCACTCATTTCAGGTCTTGGCTGCAGCATGTAGGAGCACCTTCCGAGTGTCTTCTTTCTCCCATTCCAGGCCATCTGTAAACATTTTCATAGCTCAAGGACTGCTGCATCGGCCTTCGGCTCCTCTCTTCTTGTCTGTTATGCTGTGAGAAAGGGACCGTTAACCGTGTTGCCTTTGAAAGTTTCTTTATGGCAATCTGAAGGTGTAGTAGCAGTGACAGCCAGCCCAATATGGCACTGGCGATGTTGTTAAGGGCTTGACTTATATTAGCTTTTAATCTTCATAATTGCAAATGTCCTATTTTCCTCATTTTATAGAAGAGAAAATTAGGGCACAGGGAGGCTAAGTAACTTGTGCAGGGCCACACAGGTGGTTAGTAGTGGAACTAAGATTTGCACCCAGGCCTTCATCCTCCAGGGACTATGTTCTTTGAGTAGACTTTTTTTTTTTTTTTTTTTTTGTGGTGCTGGGGACTGAACCCAGGGCCTCACATATGCTAGGCAAGCACTCTACCACGGAGCCACATACCCCGCCCAGGGACCATGTTCTTGTCTACTCTGAACCTTTTCCAAATATCAGTACCATGTGAGAACTTAGACATGCCAGGCTGAGACCACAGAGATCAGGCTCCTGGCCACCACACAACACCTACCAGCTGTGTGACCTGGAGCATGTCATTTTCCTCAGGACTTCAGTGGTAACAACACCTTGTACCAAATGCCCCTTCCACACACACGGAGCTGCTACTGCTGCTGCTGCTCTTCTTCTTCTTCCTCCTCCTCCTCCTCCTCCTCCTCCTCCTCCTCCTCCAGGGCAGCAGGTCCGCAGCTCTCCCTATGTGCCAGGCACTGCTCAAAGCATTTTACACATCTTGATCCTTCACATGATATAAGATGGCTCCATGAGGTTGATTCCTCATTTTTGTAGAAAGAAACAGAGAGGTTGATGGGTCTGGGGTATGGCTCAGCATTGAGCACTTGCCTAGCTGCAAGGCCCTGGGTTCCAGCCACAGTATAACCCAAAAAAAGGCAGTGGGGTGTAGGGTGGCAGGGAAAGAGGAGATTAAGTAGCTTGTTTGAGGGCACCCAGCTGGGAAGCATGGGACTTGAAGCAGAGTCTGCCTTAACAGTCTGCCCTGGCCCTGGCCTTGAGAATCACATAGACCTGGCTTCTGTGAGTGCCTTCAGAATCTGTGGTACAATTAGCAAATATTTCCAGTTCTTTGAGTCCAGGCACATGGAGGTGTTGTATTAGATTTCCTTGCCCCCTTGAATTTAGGTATGGCCAACAAAACATGATGGATGTCCCTTCTGGACATAGCCAAGAGCAGGGGCAATATTCTCCACTGGCCTGGAAAGTCTTAAAAGCTTGGGGATGACGCCTCCCTTCGCCTGAGCCCCACTGAGGATGGCATAAGGAAGATGCCCACCAGACCCACATGAAGGTGGAGGGAGACCTTCCTGATTTTGAGCCACTGGGGCGTGGGGGCTGTTATTGCAATGGAACTGAGCCTTCTTTGTTGCAAGGGGGCTGTCCTGTGCATTGTAGAATGTTTATTGCATCCCTGGCCTCTCCCCAGTAGATACACCCTGTACCCCACACCAGTGACATCCAAAAACATCTCCAGATCTTGCTACATGTCTTACTGGGGGCAAAATCATATCTAGTTGAGAACCACTGTCCTGGCATGTTCTGATAGAGTCCCAGTGTCCTGCCAGTGCTCAGTGAACCCTATTTGGCTGTGATTTGTTCCTAAAGCCACATCAGGCAGGTGATGCGATATGCCTCCGTCATATGGGGCTGGAAAGAGGCAAACTTCACACTGTGAAACCCAGTCTTCACACTGAGAACGACTAAGATCCCAGCATGTTTTTTTTTTTTTTTGGTTTGTTTTAATGTGCTGTTAGGTCTGCTAATATTTAGAATAGTCTCATCCATATTCATAAATAAGATTGGTCTGTAATTTTATTTTTTGGTGTAACCTTTATCCAGTTTCAATATCATGTTTTACTGGCTCCCACAGCACTTTCTCTTTTTCCTTTGCTTTGGAATAGCAGGTGGCACTGGGACCACTTGATCCTGGAAGGTTGAAAGAATTCCCCTTTGAAGAATAAAATAAACATGGGCTGGGGTTTGGCTCCAGTGGTAGAGCGCTTTCCTAGCACCTGTGGGGCACTGGGTTCGATCCTCACCACCACATAAAAATCAAATAAAGATATTGTATCCACCTAAAACTAAAAAAATAATATTAAAATAAATAAATAAAATAAACAAAAATTAAAATGATGCACGCCTGTAATCCCAGTGGCTTGGAAGGCTGAGGCAGGAGGATCACAAGTTCAAAGCCAGCCTCAGCAACTTAATGAGGTCCTAAAGCAACTCAGTGAGACCCTGTCTCTAAAATATGAAAAAGAGCTGGGGATGTGGCTTAGTGGTTAAGCACCCCTGGGTTCAATCCCTGGTACCAATAAATAAATAAAATATTTAAAAGAAACAATAAAACAAAAAAATTCCCCTTGGAGACCATCTTAGGCTAGTGCTTGCTTTCTCCTCCTCCTCCTCCCCCTACTCCTTTTTTTTTTTTTTTTGCAGTACTGGGGATTGAACCCAGGGGTGCTCTGCCACTGAGCTACATCCCTATCCCTTTTTATTTTTTGAGACAGGGTCTTGCTAAGTTGCCCAGGCTGGCCTCCAACTTATGATCCTCCTGCCTAGGCCTCCCTGGTATGTGGGATCACTGCATGCACCACTGTACCCAGCAGGCCTGGAGCTTTCTTATGGGGAAGGATCAAATCAGTCTGTTTAATTTGCCAGTTCTATTGGGGCCAAGGTATCTCCCCTACACACACACACACACACTAAGTTGCTTAGGGCCTCACTATTTTGCTAAGACTGGCTTTGAACTTGTGATTCTCCTGCCTCAAACTCCTGAGTTGCTGGGGTTACAGGCATGCGTCACCATGCCCAGCTAATTTTTGGTTAAGTTGTATTTTTCTAAAAAATCGTCTATTTCATACAGATTTTTCTGATATATTTGTATTCTGATATAAAACCCTCTACCAGTAAAAAATAACTCTTTCCCTTCATTCTCCATTTTAAATTCATTCAGGTCCTCTTCTCTCAGGGAGCTCTAATAAGAATTCCTTTGGTGTCATTGTTATGTTATAGATGAGGAAACTGAGGTCAGAGTGGTACAGTGGGTGGTAGAATCAGGATTTGGGCCTGGGTCTGACTCATTTCCCAGGTTTACATGGGTTTTCCCACCATGCTTTAGTCCCAACCACACTGCTTATCAGGCTCACTTGAGGAGGACTACAAAACAAAATGTATTTCCAGATCCTACCTCTGACCAAGTCAACTAAATTCCTTCAGTGGTGCCCAGAAAATTCTATTTTAACCAATTATTTGTGCAACTATTTGATAACTATCTCCACTACTAGATGAAAGCTTCACGAGGGCAAGAGCTAGGTCTTACCCAGCAACAGAGAGAGGCCACCCAAGTGTGAGACTACATGTGCCAATTTCCTTTCACTGACCCAAGTAGCAAGAGCTATTTGTGGAATTCTCTGGAGCAAATCTCAAATTTCTAAGAACAAAAGAAGTGAAAATTACAAAATACATTAAGCTTCCAAGAACAATGCTTTTGTTTCAAGAGTCTTGCTATGTTGCCCAGGGGGGCCTTGAATTCCTAGGCTCAAGGGATCCTCCTGCTGGGCCTCCTGAATGCTGGGACCGCAGGTGTGCTCCCGCAGTTCTCAAACTTATGCTTCTATCTTAAGAACTGCCCAGTGTCTTAGTTTGGGCTGCTGTACCAAATTACCACAGGCTAGGTGGCTTAACACTCATCTCTCACAGTTCCAGAGGCTCAAGTTCAAGATCAAGGCACTGCAGATCCTGCCCCTGATGGCTCTCTTCTTGTGCCTTCACATGGGGGAGAGCAGAGTGACCCAAAGCTCCCACTTCTTCTCTCATAGGCAGGAGAATCCTGTTCATTAAGCCTCTGCCTGCCGCAGTCTGGCTGGGCACAAATCACGAGCCACTGAAGCAGGAACAAACTTTATTTCTGAACTCCACCAGCACACTCCACACACGCTCCCCGGGAACTATCCCGAACCCCACCCAGCTGGAAATATCCTCCGGAAATCCCTCCTCCTGCACTTCCCCAACCAATGGGAACTCTCCGGGAATCCCCGGGGGAACTCCAAAGTAGCAGCCAAGCGCCTGTCAACCAATACTATTGACAAAATGCCAGGGGCCATTCCGACTCAGCTGTGGCTCTCAGCACTGCCCAATGACCTAATCACCTCCAAAGGCCCCACCTTCTCATTGTCCACTAGGGCTTAGGATTTCAAAGTAGGAACTGAGGCTGTCTGGATACAAGACTGGATGGGGTCTGGCACCTGGTAGGAGCATAATCAGTAAGGTCAAGCCTCCCAAGTAACTGGGATCACAGGCAGGTGGCTTAGAGTAATGTTCTTTAAGACATCAATGGAGGACTGAGAAGACTTACCTGAGCCCCACACCCTCCAGGGAGAGATGGAAAGCCAGAGCTAAGAGAATCTGGGTTCCCAATCCTTCCTTTAGCCACCAGGAACTCAGCATTTGGCTGTGTTCTCTCACCTCAAGTCACGGGTCGGGTCGGTCCGACTGCACAGCTGCAGGCTTCTAAGCACAACAAGGGTTGGTGCCTGTCCCCAGGAGGGTTCTTCACTCCTGAAACTCCCTCCCTGGTCCTGCGGCACTACCAACAGCAACCCCTGCCCCCACGAAGGCCTCCGCCTCAGCCCAGTAGGCAGACATCTTGACTTCTGTTCGCTGACACAAGAGCAAAAACGCAGGAGGCAGAATTTTTTTGTTTTTTATTTAGATGTGGGATTTTCCTTTTTGTATAACTTATCTAATTAAAATATTCATCTTGGTAGTTACCACAAAAAAGTAACATAGAAAATTGTATTTACATTTTGGGACCAAAATACAAATGAAGAGCAGGATTACACCTTGCTCCTTCCCCTCCCACTTCCAAGAAAGAAAAAGCCTCAGAGACCCTGCTCATCACACCAGGGATCACAAAGGACTAATCTGTAATCAGGTGATTCATGTGTAGTGTAGAACAGAAAAAAATTGCACAAGTTTTCACAAATGAGACCAAAGGTTCAACGTCATTTTGCGTCTGCTCTGCAGCCATTTCGGTAAGCTGGGTGAGGGGGTCATCTAGAAGTTCAGTGTGTCCTCTTCTCACCAAGTCACATCCCTGATGCAGACACTCAGAGGGGGATGGAGGAAGACCTGGCTTTACACAAACAAGAAATCTTATGTGCCAGAAGCGGATACTGACATTGGAATGAACAAATTTGTGTCCTTTCCTGCCTACAGACTCCTAATGAGAGGAATTCATACTCAACTGAAATATGCAAAACTGGTTCAATGACAAAGACTTGGAGACACCAATAAGAGACAAATTCAGATGGTGCACACTTACAGGAAGCTAGCTAGGTAGCAGGTGCCTGGCAAGTGAACCAAGTGTTCACTTGGTTTCAGGTAAAAGACTTTCTAATATTAGATTTGGGAATCAGGCTAGAAAATAGGGGTGTACTGGTGAAAATAAGCAATCAAGGGAAAGAAATTTACCCAATTCAGAAATACAGCAAATTAAAACACAGCAATGCACACTGGAGGATGCAGAACTTCTGCTGAGCAGGTTTCCTGCACGGCCCTGGAATCTCCAAGGTAGCCCGATGGGGGTGTCCAGGGGGGTTAAAACAGTGGCCTCTGTATTCTGTGCTTTCGGAGAGCTTGTTGGAGGGACTGATGGCCACGCTCAGCAGGCTGTCACACTAACCACCAACCCGCTCAGTTTGCTTTGCAGGCTTCTTGAATGTGCGCATCTTAAAATTCACATCTACATCCACCTGGGTCAAAACAAGCAATTCCTACTACCTGTGTCCTTCAACAGCCAGGAAAGAGCTGACACTGCCCTCCTGGCCCTGATTTTGCTCCTAAGTCAAATGGTCAGCAAAAGCCTCCCTTCCTGAACATGATGGATGTCCTGAGGCTCCCCACTCCCCAGGCGGCCCTGCCCTCCTGATGTGGAGGACACAACCCAAGAGGTAGAGGGCTGCAGTTCTCTACCAGACGAGCAAATTGTTGTGCTCTTGCAGTTACATGATCTTACTTTCAAAGAAAAAGGAAAAACAAAAGCAACTTTCAACAGAGCATTACAACTTTAAAAACCAATTGCTTCTAGTAGCAATTCACAGGGAACAGGAGATTAAAGTGCTGGCTTACTCCAAAGTTGTATTCTGGCTATAAAGAGCCCTGCCACATCTGTGTTTTATCCCCAAGCTGATGGGGAGAAGGCAGAGGAGGAAGAAAGAAACCACCTAAAATGGGAATCAAAAAGTGGAATATTAAATTGCTGAGAGTCTGTGCAAATTCCTCTCAAGGTTCCGGTCCTCTAGTGAGCCTAACAGGCAAAACCAACAAAAAGAACTTGCGAAGAAGACAGGCGAGGACTCTAGACTTCACAGACAGCCTCCCTTAATAAACACTACGGAGCGGGTGAGAGGATGCGCCTGCACAGGGCTCTGGGCAACGCTGAGGAGGGTCTCGGTGTGAGGAGCCCCTAAACACTGCCATCCCCACAAGGAGGCTCCCCGGGTGATGGTCTGGCTCTGGCTCTCAGTGCAGTGAGCATCACACAGGCTCTGGGGACACCCAGCTCCCTCTGGACCAGGGAGCACTCAGGAGCACTGCCCTGGGACAGGGAATGGCTTCATCTAACTTTAATAAAGGACCTGGAAAATGAAAAGCTAAGTGTGGTAGAGGACAAAACCAAAACCAAAAAACTCTGGGGGGTAATATAAATACAATCTGGGGGCAATATTTATTAATTAAAACTATGTCTTATAGTTTACAAAGATGCTAATTAACAACAAAAGTATAATTGACCTTAAAATCCTCAGTGAGACTGAGGCTTCACATCATCTTCAGAATTCTGAAGTGTGCTCCAGGCAGGGCACAGGTAGGTGTGCAGGGCAGCACCTGCGACCATGCAGGATTCCAAGGCCAAGAGGCTCCACAAAGTAAGCTTCTGGGCTCCTCTGGAAGTCCCACTCTCCAGCCCCCATTGTCCCTGTATTCTTGCCCCCCAAATTCCATCTCCAAAGTAAGTGCTTGGTTTATCGTCGAGAGAATCTGTTCTTGAAAGCTTTAATTGTCTTGGCCATCATTGGTGCGATTTCTGTTAAGAGAAGTAAGGCAGCAGTTTTAGATGGACAGCAGCAGGAGCTACTTGCTAACACTGCAGTGAAAGCCCCAGAACACAGCACACACCTGCTGAGGCCCTTGCAGGAGCATAACATTGCTGTCCCCAGTTCTAACTGCAGTGCTCATGGGTATGTGGTAAGTGGCATAGCTGGAACCCAATCCTTGTCAACTGTAAAGGCTGTGCCGTAATTCAGTTCTGCCTCACAAACATCCAAACAGGAAATGGTACCCCCACCCTCCACTTTGTCCAATACAGCAACAGGTCTAAGGTGAGCTGTGCGAGCACAGCCTCAAGAGGGCCAACCTACCTCTCCACTGTTAAGCTAAGTGTGGCCCACACTTGAGCTAGGACTCCCACCCTCCCATAGGTCCTGCAAGGACTACACAATAGTACCTTTCTCAAGGTAGACACCCCTGAGGATACTGAGGGTAGTCTACGGTAATAGATAATACACAAAATAGACCCAAACAGATATTAAAAATATTTGAAAGCTATGATTATAACCTCAGTAAGATTACAGGACTCCATGTGCAATCCCATCAACTTAAAAGGCTGAGGACTGCAAGTTCAAGACGAACCTCAGCAACTTAGGGAGGCCCTAAGGACTTAGCAAGACCCTATCTCAAAAGGGCTGGGCCAGGTGCAGTGGTGCACGCCTGTAATCCCAGTGACTTGGGAGGCAGAGGCAGGAGGATTGCAAGTTCAAAGCCAGCTTCAGTAATTTAGCAAGGTCCTGAGCAACTTAGCAAGAACTTGTCTCAGAATAAAAAATTTAAAAAGGGCTGGGGATGTGGTTCAGTGCTCCTGGATTCAATCTCTGGTACCAAAAAAAAAAAAAAAAAAAGGGTGCGGGGGCGGCGCTGGGAATGTGACTCAGTAGTTAAGCAACCCTTGAGTTCAACCCCCAGTACAAAAATATTTTTTAAAATAGAACCTAAGTGTCCAAATGAATGTTTAAAATGATCATTCTTTTTTTTTTTTTTTTTTTTTTGGTAACAAGGATTGAATTCAGAGGCACTTAACTGCTGAGGTACATCCCCAGCCCTTTTTTTTGTATTTTATTTAGAGACAGGGTTCTCACTGAGTTGCTTAGGGCCTCGCTAAGTTGCTAAGTCTGGCTTTGAATTTGTGATCCTCCTGCCTCAGCCTCCCAAGCTGCTGGGATTACAGGTATGAGCCACCATGCCTGATACTATGATCATTCTCATGGACACAGCAAGTGAAAGGAGGGGGCTGACCGTTATTCTAGCATCTGCAATGCTACATCCAGCACATAAATTCAATACCATGGCAATGATATTCAAGGAACTTCCTAAACTAGTTTTAGGTATCTGAGCAGGGGCCCAGGTTACTTACTCTTCACAGCCGGTTTCCTAGGATCATAGGAGATGGTACTACTGACCACTGGCACCAAGTGGGCACTGCTGGTGCTAGGGCCGTCATAGGCCGGCTCCTCAGAGCTAGGGTTAAAGCTGTTGCTGCTGGCAGGAATGTGGCTGCTTCCTGTGGTATACGGGGCTGGCTTAATCCTGCATCACAGAAGAGAGCTGGTCAGCCACAAGCAGGGAAAATCTGCCCTCCACAAGCAGCCTGAAGCTGGCCTGCCACAGGATGACTCGTGTTGTGACTGTGAGCAGGGATGCAGCCCCCTGGGTTCTGGTGGTGGATCAGAGACACTGTAGCAGCTACAGAGCAAGTCAACATCTCAGTTTGCCTTCTCTGTTCAGGTGCCAGTTTATGCTCAGATGCTCACATGGTCTAGAGGAAAGAGTCAAGTCACCCCAGAAATGTATGTTTTTGTTTAAATGGGAAAAAGAGAAAAGTGTAAGGTAGTGTTTGCCACAAGCCAAGCCCCTGGGTGGCAGGAATCACCATGCAGGGCATGCTGCAGTCCAGCGCACTGAGGCTCAGGAGGAGAGGTCTGTGCTCAACGAGGCCTACCTCAGAACTCACACTACAAAGTGAGTCACTTCCTGCCCTGCAGCTAGCTCCCTCTGAGGGTGGATGACAAGCTTTTGGGGCTCTCTTCCCTGAGCAGGTAAAGATCAAGCACAAGCAGAGATCTTACTTGACTTTCTCAGGGACAGCTGCCCCTCCTGTTCCAAACTTCTCTTGCCTCCGGCGGACATCTCGAGGTGGCTTGGCCACAGAGTTGACAAAGGCCATCTTTGCTCGCCGGCCTATGGAAAAATTTAGAGATTAATATCTGTCTTCCTGAGCAGTGACACTGCTATTTCTGCCCACCTACAAAGACAAGAGACGTTTAGGGACTGGCCCCACACCAGCCAGGCCCACCAAGACTTCGCTGCTGACCAGAGCACCCACCTGCCAGCTCCTGCCTCCTCTGCCTTCCCTTACCTTTGGGCTTATTGGCATGTGCAAATTGGATGTTCTTTGTTAGCACTCGTAGCCGCTGCTCTCGGGCATCCTGAAGCCGCAGGTACATCTCCCGCCAGGACTCATACTCTTCTGGTCTTTCTTCTTTAAAGTCTCGGTGACAATGAACTTTCCATAATTGATCTGTGTCTTCAATTAATACCTGCATTCAGGTGAGGATATCGCTTATATAAAAACATTCTTACGTATCTCTTTTATACTTAGGAGTGACCAGTTTCCTAGCAAAAATTTTTTTTTGGTTTGTTTGCATAGAAGTTTCATATTAAAATACCAAAACTCTAGGGGAAAAAACAAATCACTGAATTAAAAAATAAAAAAAGTTCAGTGTGAGCACTAAGTAGCTCCTGGGTGGTTGTAAGAGAAGATAAGACAAAAATTAAGATCATTCTTTTCCTTTAGGAATCAGTAAAGGGTAGAGCTGGGTGAATTCAAATCAGCTACTTCCCTAGCACTACACTGAACTATCATGGCAAGGGGGGCCACCAAAGAGGGATGTCATATTACGAGCTCTCAGAACTAGAGAGAGAGAGACTCTGCCATCAGATGAGTGTGTCTGCATTATAGAAGAATTCTGGAAGGTCTGGATACTCAGCCAATTTGTACTTTTTTTTATGTTGACCTCACACCTGAGCATCCCTGGGTCCCAGGTGCTCTGCTGCCAGATTCTTCCCTTGTGGACTAGGCAAGCTCAAACGAGGCACCAGAAGTTTTTTCTTGCTCCTTTGAATCCCACCCTGATTCTAGCCCAAAAGGCTACTTAAGAGCAGGTGATAGGAAAATGCTTGTTTAAAGGCCCAGAGGCAAACCAAACATGCCCAGAACAGGGATCGACCACTGGTCTGCCTTCAGCCACGGCAGATCCACAGAGACAAAACTATTTCTGGAGACACAAGTCAGAAAACTGCTCTCTTCACAAGGAGGATACTCACGTGATTGTATTCCTCTATGCGATATAGCTGATCAGGTGTACACCTCTCCAAAACAGGTTCAAGAATAGAAAACGGGACTCTTCCCACTTCAAAGATGGCTGCAAAGAAATCAAAGGTAAGAGTGTTGAATAGCGGCCAAGCTACCCAGTGACAAGGTCCCACTGCAACAATGTGCTCAAGGGAAGCATGTGACTTACAATCGATGTTGTTTTTAAGTACACGGATGCACTGCTGGTACAAGGTCATCATTTTGGGGAGATAGGCACACTTGGAACCGGAATACACCTGCATCTTGGAATTCATTCTGCGTCCAGTGAATCCAGCTTCTTCTTCTTCCTGGGGTGAAGAGAATGCTACAGGGCAAGAAAAACCAGAATGGAAATCACAAAAGGCCCCAAGCCACATTGGTCCTTGGCCTCCCCCTTCCCTTTCTCAAGGACAATCAATGACAATTCTTCTGGATTCTGCCAGAGACTGCATTACCATTAAGTCACATCACCAGCTCTTTTTATTTTGAGACAATCTTGCTAAATTGCTAAGGCTGGCCTCAAACTTCTGATCCTCCTGCCTCAGCCTCCCAAGTCACTGGGACTGCAGGTGTGCACCACTGAGCCTGGGTCCATCGCTTGTTTCATTTAGCACATTTGAGGAAATCATTCCATGATGATACATAAAAACTTTGTACATTTTTTACAGTGGTCTAAGAGGACACTTTGTGGACAGGCCATGATATATCTGTTTCTGTTAAGTCTTCTGCTGACAGACACAATGTGGCTTCTTATTCTTTTGCTACCAAAACTCTATAATTTTTTTCTTTAAGCTAAAAACCAGACATACTATATATAGAATGAAAGGCTGCTAACAATAGCAGGAGCAAAGATTTCCTGAAGACTTTGTATTGTATGTGAAAAACCTACAGCTAAAAGCTTTATTGGCATTACCACTTTGGGGGTAGGGAGGTACTGGGGACTAGAACCAGGGATGCTGTACCACTGAACTACATCTCCAGACCCTTTTTATTTTTTCTTTTGGGACAGGGTCTCACCAAGTTCCTGAAGCTAGCCTTGAACTTGTGATCCTCCTGAGTCGCTGAGATTTACAAGTGTGTGCCACTACATCCAGTGGCATGGCATTACTACTTTTGATTCCATTTAACAATCCTACCATTATTACTTCTATTTACAGAATGTGAAAATGAGTTCCAAAGAAATTAAGATATTACCCAAGATTATACTACTTGCAAAAACCAGTGTTGAGATTCAACCTAAGCCATCAAACTCCAGAGTACACTCCTAGGAAATGTACTCAAAATCTGATATGATAACTGTTACGATGACAGATCATGAATGAATTTGTACATCTTTATCCCAATTAAAAAAAAAAAGATACAGGGCTGGGGTTGTGGCTCAGTTGTAGAGCACTTGCCTAGCACATGTGAGGCACTGGGTTTGATCCTCAGCACCACATTAATAAAATAAAGTTATTAAAAAAAAAAAAAAAAAGAGGGTGGGCTGGGGCTATAGCTCAGCAGCAGAGCACTTGCCTAGCATGAATGAGGCACTGGATTCAAACCCCAGTATCACATAAAAATAAACAAATGCAGTCTGTCCATCTACAACTAAAAAAAGAAAAATTAAAAATAAAAGAGGGGTTGGGATTGTGGCTCAGCGGTAGAGCGCTCGCTTAGCACGTGAGGCCCTGGATTTGATCCTCAGCACCACATATAAATAAATAAAATAAAGGCATTATGTCCAACTACAACTGAAAAAGAAAGAAATTTCTTTAAGTATCTCACTTATTTAAAAAAAAAAAAAAAAAGACATAGAAAATTACCTTTTCTCTTTGGCTGGAAGGAGGGCATCAATTCAAGGGAAGGAAGTGGACGGTAATTGCCCTGGATGGTGGGTAAGGGGAGGTCTGGCAATACTGGCAGTGCATCAGTAGGGACCTGCAGAGGAGAAACAGTGAATGGAGAGCCCCTTTCTATGAGCACACCTTTCATACCCACAGTAAATTCCTAGCAGGTCCAGGCCGAAGGGAGGCTTACAGTCATGAACACCACCATCTAAGCCAGGAAATGAATACAGAAGGGTCCATCACGTAGGGACGCCTCCAAAAAGTCTTCTTGGGAATCAGCTATCCTTGGGCAAATGAGGCCCAGAGGAAATTAGTGCAAACTGAAATACAACAGGCCAACTGCAAATAAGCCAAGGAGAACAGTAGCAGGTAGGCACCCAGAACCCCCAGGCACTGCAGCCTTGAGGCTTACCTTTCTCAGCCTGGTTGAGTCGGCTCCAGCCAGCTGCAGCTTCTCTGACCTGCTCTCATTCACCTTGGGTAATTTCTGAACTGAGTTTAAGTTTTTACTAGTGCTTTTGGAATCACTTTTTTTAAGTCCTTTGTCTCCAAGTGCCGTGGCTGGAGTTTTCACAATCTTCTTCTTTTTCTTCCGGGGCTGATCATAGCTGAGGTATGATTCAAATGACATGGTGGGCTGCTCGAATTCATCCTCCACATCTGCCTCCTCTACCTTAGGGAGTGAGCCCAGTGACTTTCTATCCAAATTAGAAGTCTTTACTTTCCCTTCTTGAGCCTTTATATTGTTAGAAACCTTCTCTTTTGTTCTGGGCAACAGGTCTCCAGCCCCTTTTCCTATGTCTGCGCTGTCCACGCGTTGCTTGCTTTTGTCTGATTTGGTTTTTGCAGAGTCCTTGTGCTTTGGCTTTTTAAGGTGGTTGTCTGAAGCAACCTCTGAGGGTGAAAACTTCCTTTTGAGGCTGTTGCCTTCTCTTTCTTTCTCTTTCTTGGCAGCACTAGAAGGTGGTCTCTCCTTGGCACTATCCCCTTGGAGTGGCCTTCGGGTCTCCTCTTTTGAGAGGGACTTGTGTGGCTTCTCTCTGCCCAAAGCAGAGGCCTTATCATCACCCTTGGCATCTATAGGGCGTTTTTCCTTGTGGCAAGATCTGTGTTCCTTGTTTTGGTTCAAGATCCCCTTTCCCTGGGGTTCTCCCAGGTGACGTTCTTGACTAACTCCCAGTCTGTCCTGAAAGGCATTACTGTGGCCTTTTCCAGGTTTCTGGTGTGAAACAATGGACTCATGGTCCTCCTCTGGTGACCTGTAATGGTCTGTGTACATCTGATGAGGACTCGCACAGGATGGAGGGGACTGGACATGGCCATAGTCAGAAGATTCGGGGTCTGATGAGTATGTAGGTGACACCCTGTGACACCTCTTCCTCTCATCTCTCCTCTCATGACTGTGAGACACTTTGTGAGGTTGTTCACATTCTGAGAGTTTTCTGTGTTTCTTCTGTCTGTGCTCGGGACTATAGGATCGGCTGCCCGAGGCCTTGCAGTTTTCTTGGTAGTACCCTTCCATCTCCTCCTCCCGCTGAACCGCATCCCGAGGGCGCTTTCGGGAATTGCTTTTCTCAAAGTCCTGTTCATCAGCCTCATTGTTTCTAAAATAAAAGAAAAAGCAGAGATAACTCTCAGTGTAATCCTTGTTCAGACAACAAGTCACAGGCCCTGAACTCACAAGAGATCAAGGAGATGCACAGTGAGAACACAGTCACAGGAAGAAGGCATGGGGGTACACGTGAAGATCCTCAACCAAGTTCAAACACTGGGAAACCCCAAAAATATTCAATAAATGGGAATGACAAGGATACAGGGAAGATCAAATGTCTTGTAGACATGAAAATGCTTAAAGATTTTTTTTTAACACAGGGACAATTTTAAACTTGTTATGTAAAAAGGAAGCTAAAAAAGCTAAAAATGCCTTTTAAGAAGACGTTAGCCAGGAATGGTGTTGCACACCTGTAATCCCAATGACTGTTGAGGCAGGAAGAGCATGTTCAAAGCCAGCCTCAGCAACTTAGTGAGGCCCTGTTTCAAAAAATAAAAAGGACTGGGGATGTAGCTCAGCAGAACATATGCTTAGCATGCACAATCCTCTGGGTTCAATATCCAGAATGACAACAACGTTTAGAAAGAAACATACTAAAACGTTATTGTTTACCTTTAAGAAATTTCAATTCTTATCTCTTTATTTATTTAGGTATTGGGGATTGAACTCAGGGGCACTTAACCACTGAGCAACATCTCCAGCCCTATTTTGTATTTTATTTAGTGTCTCACTGAGTTGCTTAGTGCCTTGCTATTGCTGAGGCCGTCTTTGAACTTGCAATCCTCCGGCCTCAGGCTCCCAAATCACTGGGGTTAGAGGTGTGCGCCACCTCGCCTAGCCTTATCTCTATTTTCTAAGAGTCTATAACAATCATGCATTACTTTTATAATTGAGGCAAAATAGATATTTATCTATTTACTTATGGTACTGGGGATTGAACCCAGGGGTGTTTTAACTGAGCTACATCCCAGGCCCTTTTTATTTTTGAAACAGAGTCTCACCAAGTTGCTGATGGTGGCCTAAAAACTTGTGATCTTCCTGCCTCAGTCTCCTGAGTAGCTGGGACCATAGGTACACACCACCATGTCTGGCCAAAATATGCATTTTAAATAAGAAGATGGAAAAGGAATAAAAATAAATACCACAGCGCTGAATAAACTTAAAAAGAGAAATGTTCTCACCGTTCCACAGGAACCAGCTTCTTCCACTGGGCCACTAGGTCCCTGGCAAAGCTTCCGACTTGCTCATGTTTTCGAAAGCTATTTACTGTTTTCCCGACCCCAGTCTCCTACAAATTTAACAAAATTGACAAAGAGTTAGGGAACCCAGCTCACATTTTTCCTAAAGAAATAGGGCCTCTTGCTTTGAGAAAGTCAACAACTAATACGTCTGTCCTAAAACATACTTTGCAAGTCTGAATAACAAATTACTTTGTTGCCTATGTTTAAATTTCTTAAATGACACAAGGTAACAAAGCTTACAAATTCAGAAAAACACTTCCTCAAAATATTTCTGTAACTTTAACAAGAATGATTATAGTAGGTGTTAGACCCTGAGCTCAGGGTTTTGCAAACAGTATTTGAACCAGTCTTCTCTGTAACTTTTTTCCCTCTAATACTGGGGATTGAATCCAGGGAGCTTTACCACTAAGCTACATCCTCAGCCCTTTTTTATTTTTGAGACAGGGCCTTGCCAAGTTGGGATCCTCCTGACTCAGCCTCCTGGGTATCTGGGATTGTAGCCATGTACCATTATGCTCAGCTATGATAACTTTTTTTTTTTTTTTTGGTACTGGAGTTTAACCCAGAGGCGCTTAACCCCCCAAGCCACATCCCGGCCACCTCCCCTTTTTTATATTTCGAAATAGGGTCTCGCTAAGTTGCTGAGATCACGGGCATGTGCCACCACACCTGGCCCAGCTATGATAGCTCTTGAGGCAGAAATCAGCCTTATTTTACAGAGTTATAGCATAGAGTCACAGAACTTGGATTTGAATCCAGAACCAGTAGATGCCAAAACCAATGTTCTTTTCATTCATTTTAATTTTGAAATACACGTCACATAACAGGGCTAGGGGTGTAGCTCAATGGTAGAGTGCTCATCCAGCATGAGGAACACCCTGGATTCATTCCTCAGCACTGGGGGGGGGGGGGGATCATATAGATTTCACCATTTTAAAGTATATAATTCAGTGATTTCCAGAACACCTCTAATATTATGTAACCTTGAGTACTATCTAATTCCAGAACATTTCCATTACCCTGAAAAGAAGCCTGTTCCTCCCAATTCCCTCAGCCACTGGCAACACTCATCTACTTTCTGTAGATTTGCCTGTTTTGACATTTCATATGAACAGAATCATACAATATATAGCCTTTTGTGTCTGGTTTCTTTCACTTTCAAAGCCCATCCTCTAAATCTTCCTCTACACTCTCTCCAGTGGAAAGGGGATGGGGATATAGTTATAAAACAAAGTTGGGACTAATGAAGTAGCTCAGTGGTAGAGTGGCTGCCTAGCACATGAGAGGCCCTTAGCTTAATCCCAGCCCCCCCCCACACACACAAAAAAAAAAAAAAAAAGGGAAAGGAATAAAGAAAGAAATATAGAAAGACATACAGACAATTCTTACCGCAAGGATATCTACTGTAATAGGCAAGGTGGAGAGTTTCTTCAAATATTTCAATAGCTGCAGAATGAATGAATAAAGCAAACGTTAATTTCTATAGTCATAATCACTGGAACAGATATAAATACCTGATGGTTAAATGCTTACTCAGTACTATGTATTTTATAGTAAAATAAGCATGATTATTATCTGCGTTATGAGAAGAGGCTCAGAAAAATTATGATATGAGCTGGGGGTGTCGCTCAGTGGTACAGCACTTGCCTAACAGGTAAAAGGCCCTGGGTTCATCCCCAACACCACAAAAAAAATCAGTGAATAAAAAGAAAAAAAAAACACCATTAAATAAATAAAAATAAAACCCTTGCCCCAGGATATAAGTGGGGCAGGAATCAGTCTGATCTGTGGCTCTAGATTCTGTGCTTTCAACTGCTATTCTATACCAAAAGGAAGTAAGACATAAAAGATAAAGACACAGAAGATAATTAAAACCTACTGACTGATAAGTCACCAACAGCTAATTCTGCCTCAATTCTGACAGAGAAAGTGCCAACATTAGGGAAATCACCCATGGATCTGGCACATAGAAAAGTAAGAAGAGGCCTCTATGAGAAAAGAGAACTGTCTCCAGAAGGGCTAGCTACTGTGCTGACCAGAAATGGGCAGAAGCCAAGAGCAATTCTGAGCTACAAGAATCAGAGCAATACCGTCAATGATGAACACAAAATGTCAGGGTAAATTAGCAAAGATCTGGGTTTGGCCACATTTCCTTTCTAGAGTCCCTAAAACTAGGCCAAAATCGGTAGGCAGAGCTATTAAGACAAGAGTTCTGGAGTCAGAGACAAAATTCAGTTTGACTGCCGCCTTCTTGCCAGGTAATCTTGTGCAGGTCAGTAACCTTTCTGAACCTTGCTGCATTCGCAGAACAAGAACTGGATCCCGTCTCTACTTCACAGGCTGTGAGGATTCAAGTGATACAAACCATACAAGCATTTAGTCACAGTGTCTTCAACACTACAGAAGTTTAAAACATGCTTTTTATTAACATCTCACTCATCAGCTGACAGCTCTTTAAATGTTCTACCCTTGATCCTCAACCAGATATTGCTCAGCCAATTCCTACTTGCTCTATTTCTATCCAAAGCCATGACTGGCTAAGCCTTTCTCTAGGAAACATTTGTGTGTCCATAAACACACTGACTATACAAGGAGTGCTCCAAGTACAAGCAGTTCAAAAGAGATAACTGTGGTCACCTTTATATTTAAATATTATTAGATAACAATATCTGTTCTTTCTTCACATATAGCCCAGGCTACACCTGGTATGCCACATGGCTAATAGGCAGAGTAACAGGTGTGTTTTTCTGGTCATTCTCCTTCCACAATTACTTAACATGGTCACTAGGCAGAGCAATTGGATCACAGGTGATAATCATGTTTGACTGGGAACAAGTAGGAGCCAAGTAGTGCATCTAGGGAGCATGAAACACAGTTGAGTAAAAACTATCCTCTACTTCAAATTCCACTTGCACTACCATCCAACTCAGAAAAAGTTCTATTGTGTATTTCTTGACACCCAAGCTATGGGTACAAAGATCAATGCCAATTCCATTTTTTTATTTAGTTTTGTGGTGGTGGTACTAGGGTTTTAACACCGGGACACTCCACCACTAAGCGATATCCCCCAGCTTTTTCTAATTTTATTCTGAGACAGGGCCTCCCCAGGTTCCTGAGGCTGGTTTCAAACTTTCAGTTCTCCTGTCTCAATCTCCTGAGTCACTGGTATTACAGATGTGCAGATGTATAGTCACTGGTATTATAGGTATGTCTAGTGCAAATTCATTTTCTTTTTTCGGCGGGGAGGTACTGGGGATTGAACCCAGATGCTCCTAAACACTGAGCCACAAACCCAGCTCTTTTTAATATTTTATTTAGAGACAGGTCTCACCAAGTTGCTTAGGGCCTTACTAAGTTGCTGAGTTGTTGAACTCGTGATCTTCCTGCCACAGCCTCCTAAGCCACCAGAGCCCTTTTTATTGAGACAGGGTGTCAATAAGTTGCTTAGGGCCTTGTTAAGTTGCTGAGGCTGGTCTCAAACTTGCGACCCTCCTGTGACAGCCTCTCAAATTGCTAGGATTACAAGCTTGCACTTGGCCTAATTCTTTTTCTTAAAGGCATATTTAGAATCATGGAAAAGGTTTTAACAGGCAGTTCTCCCTGTTTTAAATTGTCCAGAAGGGGTAGGTGGGAAACACTTATATATCATCCACTGTCTTGTCAGTGACTATGCTAAGCTCTTCCATGCATTCCCTCATTTTATTTTCACTATAAAGTGGATTATTATTCTCCCTATTTTACAGATTTTGAAACTGAGACCAGTGAGATTCAGTAACTTGCCTAACAAGGTGAGAAGCATCCAACATAATTAACGCTGTTCTTAGGAAAAGAAAATAGACCAGTAATTCCTATGCCCCCCTCTTAGCATACCTGGAACAATGCAAAGCAGCTTTGTTCTTTGTCAGTACTATGCTGCATGGCAGTTTAGAGTTCACTTGGTAAAGGAGGTCACCAAGGTGGCAAAGAATCCCAGGACCTCTACAAAGCCAACATAGAAAGACCGGGCAGGAAGTCACTGAGGGTGTGTTATCTCAAAGCCTAGCACTAACTGGAAAAGCAAATGCTGCCTTTCTGCTTCACTTTGGGTTAGAAGTGACTTAAGCTCACAATACTAAAACCCTCAAGATTTAAAAACTGATCTAGCCCATCATAAAAGAAAAAACTTCATAACCTATTTTCAGTAAATTCCAAGAAAGAATAAAGCAATAACAAGGCAAGAATATTCTGTGTATCCTCAGGGAGATGGAAACTTGCTGTTATCAAACCAAGGTATGGTCTGTAGAGCTTGTAAGACCTGATAACAGACAATTAAAAATTATCAAACATTTGCACAGTGCATGCTTAGTAATCTCAGCTGTCCCCTGCACACTGCTTCAATCCCCAAAGCAAAAAAGTGTCCTTAAAGCTGACCCCCTAGTTTTCCACCTGCCATCAATCGGCATTCCTGATAGTTTTCACATATGTAACACAGGACCAGTAACTTTATCACTCATGGAAATCAATTCCAAATTAATAGTAGGAACAGAATCCAGGTGTATCTGGTCTGCCTGATACTTTCTCTCCCCAAAAGCCTAGATCATAGATGAAAATTAAAATGAAAACAGTTACACTTAAACACCAATGTTTAATACCAGAAGATCCATGAGCACAGGTGTAAAATCCACCCTTTGACTAATAATGGCTTGAAAGCAAGATTTGATTACATGTCCAATATTGCTCTATAATCATCCTGCAATTTCAAGAACAACCTGTGGGAGCTTGTTGGGTTAACAGAGGGTTGAGAGGAAGAAGGCCAGTGTGCCAGCTTGCACTTTTCCCTCTGCAGTTAGCTCATTTCTGAATGCCAACTATTATGCCCTTTGCAAAAATGATATTCCAACATTTTCTTATCTTCATAAAGCTCACCTCCCAGAATAAAGCCAAAAATTCAGGGTGGCTTTTTTGTTTGTTTTTTCCTCGGTTCGAGCATGGAACCAAGGGCCTCACGCATGGTGGGTAAGTGCTCTACTACTGAGTTCACCCCTCGACCTAGGGGTTGATTTTTCTATCTGGGAAAGGAAAGCCTAAGTGCTTAAAAACATACAAACAAGCAAAAACCACTAATAGTTCAAGTAAACTTACCTGATATTAGAAAAGCTTATTCCAAATAGAGCATTGTTTTAACCTGATAGAAATAAAGACCAGCCAGGCATGGTGGTACATGCCTGTAATCCCAGTGGCTCAGAAGGCTGAGGCAGGAGGATCACCAATTCAAAGCCAGCCTCAGCAACTTAGTGAGGTCCTAAGCAATTAATGAAGCCCTGTCTCAAAATAAAAAGGGCTGGGGCTGTAGCTGGATGGTAAAGTGCTTACCTAGCATGTATGAGGTGCTGGGTTTGATTCTTAGCACTACATATAAATAAAATAAAGGCACATTGGCAACTAAAAAAATATTTAAAAAGAGAAAAGAAAAAAGGCTGGAGATGTGGCTCAGTGATTAAACACTCATGGGTTCAAGCCCTGGCACAATACATACATACAGACCAAATACATACATACCAAATGGGGGGAGGTTACATAATAGTGCCTTAAAATCAGTCACAAATCTTACAGTATTCAGGAAAATGAACTAGTACTCAGAAATATGACCATTTATTAGATGTCCACAAAGGGATATTGTAAAAAGAAACTTATAAATATGCCTGGCCACTAGGTAATAAAGCATTGATAAAAAATACAACACAACACAAATGAAAGCATTTAAGTTTTCACAGCTTTGTAACTAGCTGAAAAAGTGGTTCTTCAGCTGGGTATGAATGAAGAGAGTTCAAGAGTGGCCTGATAGAGAGAGGCTGTGTGCAAATGAAAACCCTCATGTGACAGGCTAGGTAGCAACAAGAGAAATTGCAGGGGGGGGGCGGGTGGGGGTGGTCCTGGGAGAAAAATTCTGAAAAACAGTGATTAACATCTACTAAGCACTTTCTTCCAGCTGAGTCTTTTAGTTTAGGCAAAGGGCTGGGGATATAGCTCAGTAGGTAGAGTGCTTGCCTTGCATGGACAAGGCCCTGGGTTCATTCCCCAGTACCACAAAAACAAAAAATAAATTAAAAATAAAAATAAAAAAATTCTAGGCAAAAGTGGGAGAAGACAGGCTCAGCAAAGAACTCCCCCATGTTCATGGCTGGCAAATGGATCAGAATCCAAATTTCAGCAGCATTTTATCTTCACTGCCTCTCTCCTTTAATTCCTCTTCCATCAGGACCGGGTCTCATTTCTTAGGAACCACTCACCCTGTCTAGAATGCTGGCAGAGAACATCACACCCTTAAGTGATTTGTTTTATTTTATTTTTGAAACTGGGGATTGAACTACATCCCCAATCAGTCTTCATTTGTTAATTAATTAATTAATTTAGAGACAGAGTCTTGCTAAGTTAGTGAGGGCCTCGCTAAGTTGCGGAGACTGACCTCGAACTTGCGATCCTTCCGCCTCAACCTCCCCAGTCAATGGAATTACAGACGTGCGCCACCGCGTCTGGCTCAACTCTGTATTTCAATGAAAACAATTCTAACACCCACCAGACACTCCTAGAGACATCCGAGACGCTGAGTAACAAAGTCAAGAAGGGAGAAGGGCGTATTTAACTTAACAATTTCTAAAAGAGGCAACAAAACTAGTTAAGTACAATTAAAAATGGTGCCCATCGTTTGCAGCAGTGAGAAACGGTAGGTCTCACCTTTCTATAAGGCCAGAGGGTAGCTAACCACAACTTCTAGCCGCACCCCCTTCAATTACAACCTAAGTTTCTGGAGTACAGCTAGGTGACAGGAGGCTTTATTTTGTTGCTCTGAACGGGATTTACTGAGAAAGCAAAAGGTCCACGCTCCAAGACCAAGCCGAGAAGCGATAAAAACGTCCCGCAGAGGCGCAGGGCCACACCGAGCCTCGACTCCACTGCGCACCGCCGGCACCTCCTCCGGCTCCCAACCAAAACCCAGGACACGCGGAAAGCAGCGCGGACTCGCGGGTACGGGCACTCGACTCCGCGCCAGCTCCCCCGACAGGAAACAGCTGGCCCGGGACGCCGGGGAGCGGCTCGGAGTCCGCGGGGCACACCGCGCCCGCCTCGGATCAACCCTGCCGCCGGAGCCCGCGGCGCCCGGCCCGACCCAGGACAGGGGAGGCGGGCCGCCGAGGCCCGACCTGCGGGGCCACCGCGTGCCAGGCGCTGCAGCCCGCGGGCCTGGCTCCGGGTCCGAGCCCCGTGGCGCCGGCCGGTGGGGAATCGGCCGCGTCCGGCCCGAGAACGTTAGGGGCCCGCGCCGCGCCCAACGCCCGCCCGCTCCGCGCAGCCCGCCGCTGACCTTTTTGGGGTCCGGGTTCGCAGCCAGGCGCGCCTGCAGCTTCTCCACAACTTGGAGCGCCGACTCCGCCGCCATCGCTGTCACTGGCGCGGCCTCCTCGCCGGAACTGGGTTCGCGTTGCGTCCTCGGGCCGCAGCTCCGCCCTCCGTGCAGCCCCGGCGGAGACGGAAGCGCGACTGGCCCCTTCCGGGCCTCGGCGAGGGAGGGGCGGGGGGCGCGGGGTTGGCCGGCTTCACGCCCCGCCCCCAGGCCCGCCCCGGGCCCCCCCGCCCGCCCGCCCCGCGGCCGCTCCAGGGAGCGCGCTGCCAGCCGCCGACCTCTGCGCGTCAGGTCCTCCGGGAGCCGAGCCCAAGCCTCGAAGACCTCTCCAGTATATAGTCCAAAAAGGAATGGGCCACAGAGCAAGACTCTGGGTTTATAAGTCCTAACCTCCACCCCTCCCGCCGGGGGCTGCGAGCCACACCCTAATTAACGCCTTGACGGCGGGCCCAGGTCCTTGCCTGGCTCTGGGAATCGGGGGTAATAAACGGAGCGACCACGTTACGCACACTGTGCCAGCAGCTGGACTATCTTAATTTCAGCCTCTCTGCAACTCAGTGAAACGAGTTATCCCCGTTTTACAGATGAGGAAATGGAGGCCCAGGAAGATGAAAATAACTTGCAAAATGTTCACATAATAGTTAATGAAGACAGAATTTGATTTTTAAAAAGTCTAGGTCCGTCGTGAGTCCACACCTATGAATAGGTCAGGATATGAGGGCCAGAGGGATATGTCAAAACACCTTAGCTCCTTCAGACAATAGTGGTCTGTCCCCCCCCTTCCCTCAACAGTGTCTGGCACAAAGGCAGCAAATAAATACTTTAAAAAAAAATTAGTTGTAGGTGGACACAATACCTTTATTTTTTATTCATATGTGGTGCTGAGGATGAACCCAGCGCCTCACACGCACTAGGCGTGTGCTCTACCACTGAGCCACAACCCCAGTCCCGAAATAAATACTTCTTGAATGAATGAATGGCTGTTTCCTCTGATGACCTACTCATCAGCAGTAGATCCTGAATCATTACAACCCAAGACACCTCCATCCCTGCCACCAACCCTCATCCAAGAAGCACTAAAATCTATTTCTTGGTAAAAGTAATTTTATTATAACTATTAAAAAGAAAAACTAAACAGTTGAAACTAACAAAACATCAGCATCAATTAAATCTTACTGGATTAGGTCAGATTACATTAGATTCTAATCAGATCCCCAGGAGCAAATTGACAATGCATATGGGCTGACCTTTCCCCCAAAGCAGAGAAGCCCAGGCATTCTTCCACATTCCACATTTCTGGAAGAAAACAAAAACAATATAAATTGTTTCTTCAAATGAACATTCACTCACTCTCTAGCTAGAAAGCCCTCCCTGCCATGTCCTACACCTCTATTTGGTGTCCTGCCACAAGCTCCCTCAATAATTGACCTCTTTCAGAGAAATTGAAAAATTTTCTGTCTTGTCAAATACAAAAACAACCTGGAATGTCTGCTGCCTACAATAATACAGCCACATAATCAGCCTTGGATGAAAAGCCCATACAAAAGGGCTGGTGCTGCAGCACTTGCTTGTAGAGTGCTTGCTGGCCTAGCCTGTATGAGTCCTGGGTTCCATCCCCAGCACAATAAGGAGGGAGAGTGGGGGATGGGCTAGGGAGGCCCACATAAGATTAATGACCATTCACTTTGTGCCCTAAACTCTATCTAGGGGTATAAAGGAAAAGGCATTGAACCAAGTGTGAGACCTGGAGTCTCTTCTGCACAACAAATGCTTTTACACTTTAAATTCCTTCCATTTTGAAAATGCAGCACTGGTGTAATGGAATACAGGCTGGGTCTTAAAGCAGAATTGCTGACTAACTGACCTGGCGCATACTTGGGACTCATGGAACATTTTGCAAATGTTACCCAGGGAGATCTCAACAACCAAAATGAAAAGAAACCATACTTGCTGCTGATGGCTTCTGGAGAGGGTGCACCACCCTTTGCCCCCCTGTAGTCAGTCTACAAAGTACTCTGACATTTGGATATTGTGACTTCTCTGATGAGGAGTTAATTACATATGTTATTATATATGTTATTGTCTGACTTAATAAAAAAAAGTTTTTAGCTGGACATGGTAATACATGCCTATAGTCCAGCAACTCAGGAGGCTGAGGCAGGAGGATCACACAAGTCTGAGACCAGCCTGGGTAACTCAGTGAGATCCTGTCTCACTGTAAAAAAATAATTAAAAAAAAAGGTTGGGAATGTAGCTCAGTGGTAGAGTGCCCTTGGGAGGGAGCAGGGGTACCAGCCAAAAGTTTATGTTCACTGGAGGTTACCACTGTAATTCTTGATTTACACAGACATGTTCAACACAGGAACAAATTGCCTAAGGTCAGGGTAGTTTTGTCCATCTCAAATCAGCAACACTTAGCACACAGATAACATTCAATGAAAGTTTGTTGGAAACTGAACAAATCATTAAACTTAAGGCAAGTTCAGATTTTCATCTGAAAACCTGAGAGGGGTTCTCTAGACACATACCAACACTATTAGAGCTTCTTCATGAGAATAATTAACAGATAATTAATAATTAACTTTCTTATTATGCCCTGAAGATGTGTTTAAGGCTATAGTTGGGGAGAAAAATGGACAGGGGGGCTCTTATCTTCTGCTTTGTACATTTTTTGAGTTTTTGCAATAAGTATAGTCTACTTTCATAATCAAAGTAACTTAAAGATACTTTTATTTTGTTTTAAACATTTTTTTTTGAGAGAGAGAGAGAGAATTTTAATATTTATTTTTTAGTTTTCAGCGGACACAACATCTTTGTTTGTATGTGGTGCTGAGGATCAAACTGGGCCGCACACATGCCAGGTGAGCTCGCTATGCTTGAGCCACACCCCCAGCCCAAAGATATTTTAATTTTAGAGAAAAGCAATCCCAGGCTGGCTCATATTAGGAAATTTGAAACACTGGAAGATAATAAATAATGATGAATCATCCATCTTGTCCTCAACAGCAGAAAAAAGACCCTCTCCTAGAGTTTCAAGTGACATTCTTCGGGCTGAACAGACCCTGTACTAAGTAAAGGTTACTGGCTTGAGCTCCACCCCCACCCCACTGCCCTGGGCTCTGCCATTCATCTTATCAAGTGGGCAGCACCTGAGGTTCTCAGATGGTGGGTACAGGGAACACAGGCTGGGACTCAGTGCTGACCTGAGTTCCAATCTCCCTCTACCATGCTAACTGTGTTGCTCACAATTAAGTTGAACTCACTGAAACTGTTTCCTCCTCCTTTCTAGACTTCTTGTGAGACCTGTCATCATGTTAAATGAGTGAAGTTGAGTAGTATTTTTGAAAAAGCAGCAATTGTTAGGAAAATGCATTGCCTCAGTCAAGAGCATTCTGGGATCTTCTGTAAAACAGAGTGAAAACTCCTCTTCTGGGCAATTTTGTTCTTCACAGCTGTGGCTACAGTTCTTCCAAAGGGCTCAGGTTTCTGAATTTACTATGTCCATCTTTGTTTCACATCCTTCAAACACATTCAGCTGGTTATTTACTCAGGGATGGCACCTTCCTAAAGGATGTGTTTCACACTGGCTAGATTCACTCCTCAAATACAGTAATGGAAATGGAGATGGCCTGCTCCAGGGAGTGGTGCCTAAAATTCAAAATCCACACTTTTCACAGAATGCCTGAAAGTTGGATTAAACTTTCCACTAGCAACTTAAGGATATCAAACCTGGATAGCCTCTGAGGTTCTTTGTGTGAATAGAATATATTTCAGCATTCTCTCACACCCTTGGAGAGCAGTCTGCAGAGAATCTGTGTTTTCCAGAAAAACAGCTACCAGGAAAGTAAAAAAGTCGGGGCAGAGCTCTGTGGCAGAGCACATGTTTAGTAGGCAGGAGGCCCTAGGTTCAATCCCCAGAATAAAAACAAATTTTAAAAAATCAAAAAGTAACAATGTATATTTTGATACTTTTAAACTTTACCAATGCATACAAATTGTATTCAGGTAATAACCTACATGTCTTCCCTTAGCTCTTCTTCTTGTTTTATTTTTGTTATAACACTTAACATAATTCGAAATTACCTTAATTAGTGGTTCCTGTTTTTATAGTCTCTTCACATTATGTGAGCTCCAGGAGCATCACTGTGCCTGGACCTAGAAGGTACTCAATAAATTGAGTTGAATGAAAATTACCCCCCAGTACTGTACAGATTAAATGAAACTGGAAACATGCTAGCAACCAGTCAATCTTCACTGTTTTCTAGATGAGGGATTGATACTTAAGAAATTTTAATGAGAGCATGCCCTCAGCCCCAGAAATAAAATGTGTGGTCTTTGCTGGGAATCTTTACTGGAATAAAGGTGTCAGAGTTTGAGCTGAACGCAGATAGTCTCCCACTGGTGGAAATGGAAAGGAAAACATAGAAGGGGGACAAAGAGGAGAGGAAGGAGTGGCTGACTGATTTGCTAGACTAAGTTTTTATACTCTATGTTGGCAGGGCTGTGGACTTTCTGTGTTTTGTGTTGTAAGATTACAAATTCTCAAAGTGATCTATGTCTCCCATCTATCTTTAAGAAAATAAAACAAAAAGATTAAAAAGGGAAGTTAAGTAGGAAGAATAAAAACTCAGCATCACAGACTGGGGTGAGAACAGCTGCCACCTGCTGAGTGTCTTCTTGGTGGCTCAGCTCTGTGCTGCCTTCATATACTTCATCTCCCTACATTCCAGTGATCTCCTGAGCAATTTTAAAGATAGAGAATCCAAGGCTTCAAAAGGGTAAGAACAGTAGAGTAGCAGAAAGAGAATAGGGGGAGGAAGGAGGGAAAGGAAGGAAAGGGAAGGAAAGAGGGGGGAATGAGGATTGAAATGGAGTAAATCAAAACCCATGCCTAGATGATTTTATCAAAATGAATCCAACTACTATGTATAACTATGCTGCTTTAATAAAAAAAAATTGCTCCCTCACAATAAAATAAAATTTAAAAAAAGGCTAAGGAACGAGCGAGCTCCAATTTGGTAATGGATGGACCCAAACCGTGAACAAGTCTGCTCAGCTCCAGCTCAGTGCAGGGGCCTACACTCCAAGCCTGAAGCCTGGGCGCCGATCACCCCTCCTCCACCCCCTCCATGAATGACTCTAGCCAGGCCTGC